TTCTGGAAGCCTTCTCCGAAGACGAGAAAAAAACTTCTCAAAGGCGCGAGGGCTTCTGAGAAGTCCCGCCGCCTTCTGGGAAGGCCCTCTCCTTCTCACTTCCCCCCCCTCCCCAGAGATCCGACGTCGTGATTTTTTCAGTACGGGCTCCCGGGAAGTCCCGACCCTCTCCCCAGGGCCGGCTCTTCATCCTGAGTTGTTTTTTGACGGTCCCGAGGCCTTGCGAAGGCCACCGGCAGGGCGGAAAATAGCAAAAAAAACTCCGTCTTGATTTTTGTCCATGCGCTGGATCTCTGGGTTAGAGGAGGAGGAGGAGGAGGAGGAGGAGGAGGAGGAGGAGGAGGAGGAGGAGGAGGAGGAGGAGGAGGAGCAGGAGGAGGGGTAGATGAGGATGAGGAGGAGGAGGAGAGGAGGAGGAGGATGAGGGGAGGAGGTGATGAGGAGGAGGAGGAGGAGGAGCTCTTGATTTGTTCAATGCGTTGGATCTCTGGGTCGCTCGCCGCCGATGTCTGGGGCCGCGGCTCGGCGAGCCGGAGCGGCAGAGGCTGCGCGGCCCCACGGCGCCGCTGGAGGGCCCAATTTCTGGGCGCGCGGGCCGGTGCCCGATCGGGAGCGGCCAAGAGGGGGGTGTCCAAGAGAGGGGGGGGTGCAAATCATGACCGGCGGCATGTGCGCGGCCCAGCGGGGGGGCCAGGGACGCAACGAAATGAGAAGAGGCGCCATGAGGTCTGGGGAAATATCATGGCCCACGCCATGAAATCCCCCTCCCCCCCCCTGGTCATCACCCCCCTCTTTTCCACTCCCGACCCGAGGGCCGTGGGCCCGCACCCAGAGGCCACGTAGGCGTAAGTCGGGCGTGTCCCCCTACAGGGGGATTTCGCACCAAAAAATCAAAAACACCACAGACATGCTCCAAACTATCCAGAAATATTGTCCAACAGTCGTCCCAAGACTATTTGTTGACTATTTCTGCATATTCCCCCTGTAGAGGGACAGGCCCGACTCAAACGTAGGCGAAGGAAGGGCCACTCGTGCGCGTGGCCGAGCCCACGAGGAGAGCAGGCGGCACGAAAGGGGGAGAAACGGAGGAGAAACGGGCGGGGGAGGGTTCAGGCTCAGGTTCAGCCTGCGCGCCAGCCCTGCGGGAACGGCCCCCTAAAGGGCAGGCGGTGCCCAAAGCTCCACACTACATGAGATGCAGAATACAGAATACACAACACTGCGTGCACTGATGCAAACACTGCGCATATGTCACGTGATCCCGATTCTACCCTACGTGCTCTGCAACAAAATCCCTCCAACGTGCCACAGAATCCCTCCAACGGGGGAGAGGAAGGGGATAGATAGTCGAAGGCGGGGGGAGAATAGAAATAAAAACAGCTGCATGAGCATACGCTTTTGGAGGTCCGCGCGGATTCCTCGGGCCTGCGCTGGACATCCTCCTCCCCCTGTCGCGCGGCGCGCGCAAGGGGCGGCTCCAGAGTCGCCGCTGGATGGGTCAGGCGCCGATCCAGGAAATCCATGCGGACCTTCCAGAGTTTATTCCCTAACAGCGTTTCGCTAGAGGGTTCTCATAAGAGTCCCAAAGGAGGGACGGGGAGCCCGAGACACCCAGATCCAGGAGCGGTCTGGCGGCGGCTTCGACTGAGACTTCCTCAATCAATTTCGGAATCGTGCTCTCGCCTCAATGCCTGCTAGATTTT